GTCGAAATAAGACACTTTACCTTTCAGATAATATGATCCAAAAAATATTAATTTAACTTGCAATGGATTTGCCTTGACCAAGAAGGTAAACATCGGATTTTACAATCAATTAATGACAAACACTTTAATGAGAAATCTTGTATCTATTTTGTTTATTTTCTGCCTACCTGTATGTATTATGTTGCTTGTTGTTGGCATATCGACTTCTTGGACCACCATAATACGATAACCTTGCGTACCTGAAGCGAAAAAGTGGTATAACTAGATTGAACAGGCAATGTTCTTTTACCTCAATGGTAATTCGGCAAGTAGGTGATTGATTCTAAATAAATTATATACAATACAAAAATGTTACAAAAAACTATATGATTTTCGCCGGGATTTTTTCAGTCTCCTACTTCTTTAAGGGCAAAAAAGTGAGGCTTATTCAATGAATAACCATGATAGATGATTGCTTTGGTTGATAGAAGAAGAAAAAGAAGAATAAGATGATGTTGATGATGATGATGATGATGATGATGATGATGATGATGATGATGATGATGATGATGATGATGATGATGATGATGATGATGATGATCTTCACGACAGCGATAACGATTAATATCATAAGAAAACCGTTTACACAAATGATGATTTAACACGTCTCCATGGTTCAAGTGGTGCAAAATACCGCGACCGATGCATAACGCATGCGTGGTGGCCTATGAGTACATGGCTACTTCACTGCATTAAAAGAAATGCTGAAAATGTAAAATGTTAAATTCAAATTTATCTACTTTGATACGCATTCTAGTAAGTTCAAGTTGGATCTGATATGCATGAAGCAGATGTTCTGTAATATAATAAAACTGGCAAGAAAATACCGCATAAGAAAAGCATATAATGGCATAAACTATTTTAATAACATAAAGCGTAGAAGCAAACGGACATCCTGAACACTGAGAACATGCACACTTGAAGGCAATTTAAGAAACATGCATGGCAAATTATTTATTGAGAAGTTATAATCACAGATACGAACATTCATATTAAAAAAGTGCTTTGATGTGGAGTGCAATAAAACGGAAATGCAAATCTTTATAAATATGTGAGACTCATTACGCTTACCTTTTGAGGAAACAAAATTGACATTACTTAAAAAATAATATAACAAAATATTCAACTTATAAAATTATCTATACTTCAAAAGAAAATATCAACTATTATGCAATATTTCCAAGATTACTTAAAACTAAGGATTCCACGATATAATTTCTTGACAATGCGTCATGATACGAATTAGGGCTCAAAATGAAAGTGAAGTTGCTTAAAATATTACCAGAACAACCAACCGAAAATTGGTTCCTCAGTCGTCCTTCTTAAAGATTATTGTAACCTTTTATGATGAATAAGATAAAGTCAAATTTAAGAAATCCCTTTCAGTTTCAAAGCAATATTCATTTGCCAAAATTGTACTGCAACAATTTCTCAGATATTTTATTTCTATTTTGAGCCTGAATGAAATTTGTACGCATATTGTGTTTGCCATGATCGGAACGATCTCATAAATGAAATTTCTCTAACTGATAACTACGAGTTTGTTTTCACGGCTTTTAGGAGTCACATCATGGATGGATCGCTAAATCGCTCGAAGTCAAGAACACAAATTACTGGCTATTACCATGACATAAGCTTATTACTACACTATCTGGCCTGGTAACCAAGGATATCGTCTTGGGTGGGATTGCTTGCACACTTGGAATAAGTTATCATTGACCCTTTAACTCGAGTTCAACTCCTTGTGGGTTTTCCATCTATTGTCATGTTCGAATTATTGACTGAATTGTTTGAATTATTGACTGTTGACTTGTTGCTAAGCAAACATGATTTATAGGAGATTTATTATTCCATGTCAATGCATTATCGTCTTATTTATCTCCCTTAATTAAGTCATGTTACTGAATAGAAAATAACAAGAGTTATCGCTCTTACATTAGTCAGTTTGCTGAATAGGAACTAACACGAGCTATTTTGCCAAATGGGGCCATATTACTGAATAGAATATACAAAGAGTTATTTTGTTTAATAAGCCATATTAAAAAATATAAATACATAGAGTTACCTTCCTTAATAAAGACATATTGATGGACATAAAATTGTCAGAGTTATTTTGCTTGATGAAGACACTTTACTCAAGAGGAATGAGCAAGAGCCACATAACTATATAACTGAATATAATTAACAAAAGTTACTTTTCTTAATGAAGTCATAATAATGAATATTAACTCGCCAGAAAAGTCAAGTAAAGCATAATGACTGACTAGAAATTACCAGGGCTATCTTGCTTGATGAAGACACATTACGCAACAGAAATTAAACCGTCTATCAAGTCATAGAGCTGAATAGAAACTAAAAAAAGTAACCTTTCTTGATGAAATCATATTACTTAATAGAAACCTACAAGAGTTATCTTTCTTTTTGAAGCAATATTAGTAAATAGGAGTTAAAGAGAATATGTTTTGTCATGCTGCTCAACAAACAAAACAAGTAACATTCAACGAGCATGATTAGATATCATCCATAACATTCAACGAGCTTCAATAGATGTTACCTATAACATTTAACGAACTTAATTACATGTTTCGTATGCCCTGGTATCACTCAGCCGAGAGAGAGAGAGAGAGAGAGAGAGAGAGAGAGAGAGAGAGAGAGAGAGAGAGAGAGAGAGAGAGAGAGAGAGAGAGAGAGAGATCTCAAATAATTATACCGCGAGGCAAAATCTTTGTGAAGACAGTGTTTGATTTTAAAACCACCAAGCAAAGTGCCATACCAGCACCAATTTATGGTAATGTTATGAATAGAAAGTTTTACCATTGACTGATTTCAACTCATCTCCATGCTTTCTGTAGACATTTTAGAGAGATTTATGTAGGCAATTCAATCGATTGATCTCAACTTAATGCTTTCAGTAGACATTGTAGAAATATTAACTTGGGCAATACATTTACTTTGGCAAAATACATCATTTGACTAAATTACGGAGAGGCTGGCACATATCAATTTCCATTTTTCTTGGGCCCAGTTTGCTACTTGATGATTTTGTTGTTTTGAGTTTGCGCTTACCTTTTGTCCGTAGGAATTTTGTTGCCTGTGTCTTCAATTGAAGGTTTAGCATCGTCCATGAACATAAAACCTGAAACTATTAAAGGGTGCACATGATTATTCTCATTGCAGTTTGTTTATGAAAGCATAAAGGTGTACCGGACTATTCTTAGTGAGTTTTCTTTAAATATCAAACAAAATAATCTGTTTTGAGTTCTGCTCAAAATACAAGAAACTGTTTAAGGGTCAACAGTGCCAATGTTTTGTTTGTATTGACTAACCATTAATAAATATAATATTTTCACAACTTTGTGAAATAGTTCATCAAAACATGTATTTTGTCATAGACAAACCTTATCAAAGACATTTCAGGGCCAATAGTGCCAATGTTTTGTTTGTCATTGACTGACCTAATGTAAAACATTTAAGGGTCAACAGTACCAATGTTTTGTTTGTATTGACTAACCTTATATAAAACATTAAGGGCAAATAGTGTCAATGTTTTGTTTTCCATAGACTAGACTTATCTAAGACATTTGAGGGCCAATAGTGTCAATGTTTTGCATACCGCAGATCAGTAAAGGCGCTATCTTCATAAAGCAAGAAAAACTTTCTAAAGTTGTACGACTAGTTAATTGTATTTAACAATAAAAGTGTCCTTGAAATCAAAAAAAGGTAATCAACGTTGCTAAAGTGTTTGATCCATAGCAGGTATGTACTGAATTAACCTATTTTCCTGAATTTGTTGTGAAGGTACCTTATTGCGACATAGCCAACGTATCGTGATACAAATGACCGTATCACTGCTATACAAATCACCTAATCACTATACAATGGACCGTATCACTGCTATACAAATCACATAACTATACAGATGACCGTATCACTGCTGTACAAATCACCTAATCACTATACAAATGACCGTATCACTGCTATACAAATTACCTAAATACTATACAAATGACCGTATCACTGCTATAAAAATCACCTAATCACTATACAAATGACCGTATCACTGCTATACTAATCACCTAATCACTATACAAATGACCGTATCACTGCTACAAAATTCACCTAATTATTATGCAAACGACCGTATCACTGCTATACAAGTCACCTAATTACTATAAAAATGACCGTATCACTGTTAAACAAATCATCTAATCACAATACAAATGACCGTATCACTGCTATACTAATCACCTAATCACTATACAAATGACCGTATCACTGCTATACTAATCACCTAATCACTATACAGATGATTGCGTTGTTCATATGATCCTTAGGACAGATGACGTCTTAAAAGTACGGGAAAAAAACGTTTATGACATAATACACCTAAATAATAATAATAATAATAATAATAATAATAATAATAATAATAATAATAATAATAATAATAATAATAATAATAATAATAATAATAATAATAATATAGTATCATTAATATTATTCAGATAAATATAACAGGTAATGCATCATATTACAGAAATACGGGCTGATATTTTATGTACTCAACCTTTACAAAGTAAGCTATCTTTTTAATATTTTGGTGTTGTATCAGTTTTATACTGACCCATTGAAATTTTACAGATTGTATAATCTTTTACCGGTCTTTTATTTACATGGTTCAATACAGCGACTGTTCATGTGCAGTGTTTGCTTTCTCTATGTGTGTGTATGTGTGTGTGTGTGTGTGTGTGTGTGATTTGTAACATAGCTTTAACAATTGTTCAGTCATATCACTACGATGTCTGCAGTGAGACAGTTCATAATGATGTCTAGTACTGGGGAATGATGTCCCACCCAGTCACATTATCCTGACACCATGCCGCCCAGTAGTAACACTAACATTTTAATGCTGAGCGCTAAGCAAGGCAGCTGTTAATACAATTTTAGTAAGTCTTTGGTATCACTCGGCCGGGGTTTGAACCTACGACCTCCTGCATCCAAGGCGGACGCTCCAACGACTAGGCTACTGGAGTTTGCTCTGTGCTGGTTATAGTTCAGAATCATAAGAAGCATGAATTATGTCTTCTACAGATTTTTTTCTAATAAATACGGCTTAAACATAATGACTCATTAAATGCGCGAGATAATTAAATTTTAAAAATTTGCGAATGTGATTATATGATGACTCATTCCAGTTTGTATTGATAAATATGGATTTATTCTAATCATTTAGCGTGTATTTAGTATACACCTGGACTAATTAGGGGTGCATTCAGTATAAATCTAGAAAGTGCCTCCAAGATTAACTCTTGATGTCGTATAATCATATTTTCCATACATTTAATGCAGTTAAGATGATCATACAAAGGAAAGTCAACACTGTCAGTTACGACTTCAATTGACATCACGTGATGCCACCATGATAAGGACTCTTACTGCCAGGAGTTATCCCACACCTTGGATCAGATTGCAATGCGATGGTTTATCAGATAGCGTTAGATCCTTTGATTAACGTCCAGGATTAAATTTCATCAATACTAATCCAAAGGAAGTGTATTATTTAAAGCTGTTCATTCAAAACTGATTTGCGAAGCTTCCGAGAATTCCGTAATACGTCTCATTTATTTCCGGAAATGTGTTTATACGTGCATCCTTTTAACTTTCTATTAGATAGATCGGTAACAAGGGAATGACAATGTGCAATACATTCAAAATGAAACAAAGGGGTTAACATGCGTTTGTCGTTCCACTTTAGAGCTAACAGCATTATATATGGATGAATATTTTAAAATAGCCCTAATCAATAATATTTTCAACATTTTTTCATGTTACAAAACAGAGTACGTGCATCAAGCAATTAATTTCAGTCTGGTAGAAAAATGTAATATATTATTTATAACATTGATTAATCATGTGAGAGATTTCCGTTACTACGTCGCTGTATACATATTTATTTGCACTGTTTATTCCCTTTTGGTAATTGTATACATGTGTATTTGGACAGTCTTTTCTCTTTTCGTAAATGTATACATATATATTTGTACAGTCTTTGCCCTTTAAGTAGCTGTAAACATGTGTATTTGGACAGTCTATTCCCTTTTGGTAATTGTATGCATGTGTATTTGAAAAGTCTATTCCCTTTTGGTAATTGTATACATATGTATTTGGACCGTCGTTTCCCTTTTGGTAATTTTATACATGTATATTTGGACAGCCTTTTCCCTTTTGGTAATTATATACATATGTATTTGAAAATTCTTTTCCCTTTCGCTAATTGTATACATGTGTATTTTGACAGTCTTTTACCTTTTGGTAATTGAATACATATGCATTTGGTAATTGTATACATGTGTATTTGGACAGTCTTTTCCCTTTTCGTAATTGTATACAGTGTATTTGGACAGTTTGTTCCATTTTCGTAATTGTATACATTTGTATTTGGGCAATTTTTCCCTTTTGGTAATTATATACATGTGTAGTTGGACAGTCTTTTCCCTTTTGGTAATTGTATACATGTGTATTTGGGCAGTCTTTTCCCTTTTGGTAATTGTGTACATATGTATTTGAACAGTCTTTTCCCTTTTGGTAATTGTATACTATTACGAGATGGACATAACTAGGTGACCGAAAGGGTCTTTAGTGGCTGAACATACCATGGGGGAACAACTCTGTATTATCACGGCATTATGCTTACTTAAGTATGGTATTATAATAAGCATAAATTGCAACGTACCTATGTAAAGAAATGTCGAAGCTTGTATTTGCAAAATAGTTCTATAATAAACGAAAGGCTCCAGTAGTCAAATCGAGCACACGAATGTATTTGAAGTGGAAATCCTCGAATAACAACACATTACAAATAAAAACATGTATTACTTGTCTTAATATGAGTTTTAATTGCAATGCGGGCAAATAAATAGTAATATATAAAATTATTATTAATGCCATTAATATTATTATTATTATTATTATTATTATTATTATTATTATTATTATTATTATTATTATTAATTTCAAGAAAGTTTAACTGTTCTTGCATTCTTATTTATGTACGAGAAGTTTGATCATAAGCAACATTTTGTCAGTTTTAGAACATATTATGGAATGAACCTACAACCTTGACCTTGTAAGGATAAGTATGTCACCATGATCTATAGGCATCATACATCAGACGATACACTGAATATATCAAGGCCAATACATGTGTACGTAATTCGAATGGAGTTTTGTATATACTGATCACACGAATTGTATGCACTTTACCAAAAAGGGATGTTCATCATTTTTCAATGGAAATTTATAAGAAAGTTTGAAATTTTAGTGCAAATCGTGCTATAAGATATTTGCGTCCTTAATGGGTATAGATTTACATCTGAAAACAACCGTTAGACATTCGTGTGTCCAAAATAAATCGGAAATGCTGTTTGCTGCAATAAAACAGCGTTGGAGTATAGAACTCTTTACTTGTACTCCATAGTACAGCCTGGTTGGTACTTACCTCCTCTTGTCACTATGGAGATGATGACTATCTGAACTAGGAGGGTAACGATGAAGTTCTTGTTGAGCGGTGTTACCTTCTCCATGTTAGGCACTGTTTTCAAGCTGCAATACAATTTATATAATATATTTTACCTGGATTTGAATTACTAAGTACATCATATCAACTGTGATGTTTCAAGTTATTGGATATATAATAAATGTTAAATATTTATTTTTATATGTAATGTGTTCCTTTTGTCCTGACAAACATTTCTAAATTGCTCTCTCTCTCTCTCTCTCTCTCTCTCTCTCTCTCTCTCTCTCTCTCTCTCTCTCTCTCTCTCTCTCTCTCTCTCTCTCTCTCTCTCTCTCTCTACAAGCTCTTTTGCTTTTAGGTGTCAAAACCATCCAATTGACCTAACAGATTTACGTTTTCTAACATCGATTATTAATCAAATGCATTCATTATCAATATTTGTTTATAGAACCGGCATCGTGCGTCATCTGAAAATGCTCTTACGTCAAACAGGACTAGGACAGGGGACATAACGTCCCTTCCTATGTACATGCATAACAAGAAAGCATTTATTTATTTTACTAATAACCTCCACCTAAATTACGTCCACCCCCACCAAAGCATAAATCATCATGTTAGAGTGAGTAGATGTATAATGCACCGCTCCTTGTCGAATTGTTCCAAACGATGCCAAAGTTTAAGAAACAAAATACGAATTGAAAAATATTTTGATATCGTATCTTAGTAGCAAACCTCACTCTGCGTAGACGCACTAACAGTTCAAATGTTTCCTTATTCTGCATACTAGTGTATTCATTATTAATTATTGCTTGAGTTTATTACCTTCAAAAGCTTAATCTATATTATTCTTTTCAATAGCGGGCGTAGTGATACATGCCTCATTTCTATTTCTCTTTTTCTCCTTCGTGCATTACTTCATAAACCATATCTTGCGTAATTTAGAGTTTGTGTATACACAGATTAAAATGCACAAATAAATTCATTTTTAAGGTAAATTTGTTAACGGCTTGTTATACGTTAGTGCCTTCATTTAATTTTTAAGTAAATTTTGAAATATGTCAGTGGCTATGCATGTCTTCAATCATTCAAATGCGATGGTTTTTGAGATAAATTTGGTCTTAGACAAAGTTTTTGGATCGTTGAGTCATTCAAACCTCCAGTTGCCTAAAGTAGAGATCATTAGTTTTTACATTGGTCGTCAAATATCAGTTTAGTACATGTACGAGACTTTGGGTGGTGGTGGCTTTATTTATTTTTTTAAATTTCTGGATGATATCAAAAATCAAATAAATTAGAACAAGTCTATATTGTAAATATATCTAGTTAATGTTTGCAATTTCAGAGAAGATCTCATGAAAGGAGTTTATGTTGAATGTATGGTTGGGAATATGCTTTGTTGTTGTTGTTGTTGGGCTTAACGCCATTTTTCAGCACACGATAGGCTATTCATGGCGGCCAGTATTAATGGTGGAGGAAGAAACCGGGAAATCACCGGAAAGAACCACCGACCCACGAGAAGCTACTGGCAAGCTTTCTCACAAATCCACATTCGCCGAATCCTAGACTCGAACTCACGCAGACAGAGGTGAGATGGCAGTGATCCGTAACGGACAGCGCTCTAGACCACTCGGCCACTCGGGGCCCCAGGAATATGCTTTGTCTTTGTGCAATGCAAGTAACGTTTTTAAACTTTGTCAGTCCGATATAAAACCTTTGTAGACATGATGACTGATTTTTATGTCATGGTAGACATAATGACTTTTAGTATTGTCTCAGGTTAGACATCATTACTTTGAGTACTCCATCTTGGTAGACATGATGACTGATTATTATCGCATTGTAGACATGACGACTTTTAGTATTATCTCATGGTACACATGATGACTTTAAATATTATCTAATGGTACACATGATGATTTTGAATATTAACTCATGGTACAGATGATGACTTTAAATATTATCTCATTGTACACATAATGATTTTAAATATTATTTCATGGTACACATGATGACTTTAAATATTATTTCATGGTACACATGATGACTTTAAATATTATCTCATGGTACACATAATGATTTTAAATATTATCTCATGGTACACATGATGACTTTAAATATTATCTCATTGTACACATGATGACTTTAAATATTATCTCATGGTACACATGATGACTTTAAATACTATCTCATTGTACACATAATGATTTTAAATATTATTTCATGGTACACATGATGACTTTAAATATTATCTCATTGTACACATGATGACTTTATATATTATCTCATGGTACACATGATGCCTTTATATATTATTTCATGGTACACATGATGACTTTAAATATTTTCTCATGATACACGTGATGACTTTAAATATTATCTCATGGCAGATATGATGACTTCGATAACTCTTTATTGGTACACGTATCGAATTTGACTCCATTTTTGTAGACTTATCGAATTTGACTACTCCATTTTGGTAGACATATTGAATTTGACTACTCCATATTGGTAGATATA